GATTGCTCGAATGCGCAATTAGATCACTCTCTCTCTCTCTCTCTCTCTCTCTCTCTCTCTCTTTCTCTTTTTCTCTCTCTTTCTCTTTCATACACACACACACACACATATACATGATGTGCGTTTTTTTTCACCAAACGCGATGATATCGCAAAGAAAGAATAATAAACAAAAAGTAAATCGAATTTATTTAATAAAAAAACTTCGTGGAAAATCTATAAAAATTCTTAGATAATAATCATAAACGAAATATTTTTTTTTTTTTAATGATTACAATGAATCTTACAAATTGGCTAGTTCAAGGTAACTAAAGGTATTTATGTTGGCTATTGACTCGCGTCACGAATACGTTTTATCAAGATATTTAAGTATTCATATTCGATTGAAAAAGTAAACAAATGGAAAATTTTTCGAGGTAACCCCAAAGAAGTAGAGAAAGGTCACGATATTAGGTGAGTGAAAAAAAAAGAAAAAAAGAAAAAAGAAGAAGTACGTATGTATTTACATTAATTACACTTTCATGATCCATATTTTATCGCCCAGAGCGATCTCAAATTTGATTCACAACGATGATCACGAATAGTTCACGAGATCAGAAGCTTACAACCCACTTTCTAAGCTGAAAGAAACTACCCTTAATCGAGGATCTCTAAACGGGCTAAAACGTATTACGTTTAAGTAGAGGATATATGTATACCAAACTTCTCTAACATATTTTAACGATCTCGACGAAAGCAAACTCATGTGAGAAGAAAAAAAAGAAAAGAAAAAAAAACAAAAAAAAAGATAAGGTAGAGTATGTGTGTGTGTGTATGTGTATAATATATACGTATGGGTATGTGTATCGTTCGAAGTTTTCCGTCAAAATTTCAAGGTAGGATCACGTAAAGCACACAAAAGCCCCATAGAAATCTGGCATCAAGCGACGATTTCGAAGGCGATTACTTTGTAAAAAGAAGATGGTGTTAGTGATCGATCCTCTTCTATATTTTTTTTTTGTTCATCCTTTTCTCTTCCTCCCTCCGTCCTACCTCCTCGTTCTTTCTTCCCCTTTCTCTCTCTCTCTCCCTCTCTCTTTCTCTCTCTCTTCTCTCGTGTTTTTTTTTTTCTTTCGACGTTAGCAAATACGATTACCGAAGAAACGCGTCAACACGTTATAACCAGGTGACTCACTGTGTATATGTACGTATATATGTCTGGTGCATATATATATATATATATATATCCGTGAGGAACACCAAAGAAATGGGAAGGGGGTTGCTTTTTCCCGTATAAATTTCCAACGGAGAGAGACTCGTTCGTATTCGCATCGTAGCTTATCGCACGAAGAGGCGCCTGCCAACGAGCCGGTACACCGTACAACGAGAAAACGCGAGCCTTATCGCAAAATCACGAGATTCGAGTTTGGTTGTGTTCGTATATATATATATACATACATATATACACATATACAAACACAACCATATATATATACGGGAACGTCGTACGTATGTCGATACGTCTGTGTATGTGCTTACGTGCGTGCCTGTATTTATATATATATATATATATATATATATATATATATATATATATATATATATGTATAACCACGTAAAAGAGAATGTATAATATACATATACATACTCATATATTTTTCTTATACCTTTATGTTTCATGTGTATATTTATTTTTATATATCTAGATTGTATATATATATATATATATTTTTTTTCGTTATTACAATTAAACAAAAAAGAAATATTTTTGTTTTAATTGATCGTTTTTATTAATTACTGCATAAGAAAAATTTTTTGTTCGTCGAGTTCATTCACCATTCTCTTTTTCTTTTCGATACTGAAAACTTTAACTGTCCAAAAGGATGGTCATCTTAATTCTCCTACGAATGAATTTCACTATAAGCAAAAGAAAAAACCTTTTTTTTTTCTTTTGCTTTGAAGCTTCGTTAATAACATAAGAGTAAGAGAGTGAGAGAGAGAGAGAGAGAGAAAGATAAAAAATGAAGGAGAAAAATGTAAAAGGGTGAGAAATAGATAGATACATATATAGAGATAGAAAGAGAGAGAGAGAGAGAGAGAGAGAAAGAGGAAGAGAGAGAGAGGGAGGGAGAGAGAAAGAGAGAGAAAGAGAGAAAGAAAGAGGAAGATTAAAGTCTATCTTTTTTCTGTTCGTTGGAAAATTCTAATCCAAGAGTCGTAGCCGCCGCGCCGTTTGAAAAGCGTTTCCCGCAAAGTGAGAACAAGGAAAACGTTTGACTTCTGCGAAAATTCCGTTTACTTTCGACTTTCTCTGATCTCTTTTGTGGATGAAGTGAAAGAGAGAGAGACAGAGAGAGAGAGAGAGAGAGAGAGAGAGAGAGAGAGAGAAAGAGAGAGAGAGAGAGTGGGAAGGGGGAGAAAAAGAGAATGAGAGAAAGAGACAGAGAACATCTCGACAAGACACGAGGGAAGAGATCGTGAATACGATAAAGGAAGAAGAAGAGGAGGTAAAGGAGGAGGAGGTAAAGGAGGAGAAGAAGAAGCACACTTACCGATTGTTACCACTCCTGTAAATTAACATCTCGAATTAATTCGTTTCTCTGTAGCCAAAGGCAATATCACAAGAACTTCGTACATGGTTATACGTAAACGTGAGAGAAGAGAAAGAATCCTTTTTCGGTCTCCTTTGACTTATATATTCTCTCTCTCTCTCTCTCTCTCTCTCTCTCTCTTTCTCTTTCTCTCTCTCTCTCTCTCTTTCTCTCTTTCTCCCTCAGTCTCCCAGTCTCTCTCTTTCTTTTTTCTCTTCCTTTTCCACAATTTTCCACTCGCTTCGTTCCCGGAGTCATTACATCAAATTATTATGCGTCTGAAAACTTGTTATTCTCACCGTAAAGAGAAGCCCTTGCTCGGTCGATTTTTCCCTTTGGAAAGAAGACTCCAATCGCATTTTCTTTATATTTATATCTTGTTTATTCTTTCTCTCTCTCTCTCTCTCCCTCTCTCTCTCTCTCTCTTTCTCTCTTTTTCTCTCTTTTTCTCTTATGATAATTTTATTTCAACATCCGACCTTAATGTTTTTTTTAAAATGGAAACTTTAAGATCATAAAGATAAATGATTGATCATAGTTGGAAAAAGAAAAAGAAAAAGAAAAAAATAAAAAGGAAAAAAATAATTGATTCATTGAACAAAATTTTTTTTTCTTGCAAGGATCGATGTAAAAAGGAATATCGTATTGTTTCGATCGAAATTATTATTGATCAATATAAAAGACGTAAAAATGAGGTCCCGTTAGCTTTCCAAAGATCGAAAATGGCCAGGAGCGAATCGAATCGAATCGAGCGAGGAAATAAGAAAGATAGAAAGAATGGAGAAAGAAAGCAACGAAGAAAGAATGATTCTTAACGTAAGAAGAGATAAAAGAGAGGGAGAGAGAGAGAGAGAGAGAGAGAGAAAGAGAGGTGGATTACGCTTCCCTTCTTCCGATTTTCTTCGCTTGCTCGGCTCCTTCGTTAGCGGTTTTGAGAGTAAAGTGCCATGGAGTTAGCTAATTGGTTGAACGCCTCGGGCAGCCACCGAGGGAGTCCACAAGATATTCTGCTTTCTTCTTCTTCTTCTTCTTCTTCTTCTCCTTCTCCTTCTTCTTCTTTTCTTCTTTTTTCTTTTAACCTTTTATTTCTTCTTTCAAAGAAAGATAGAAACAGAAAGGGAAGCTCCAAGTTCGTATCTAATATCTCGATAGCATCTTCAACTATGTTATATACCAAAGAAAGAGGCATAACTACATAATATATATATATATATATATATATATTTATATACGGGATGAGTTTTTTAACTTGAGACAACAAACAAAGAAATGTTTGAAAATACAGTTAAAAACAAAAGTTATTTAATTTTGAAGAGTAAGTGAAATAGCAATATTTTTTTTATTTTTTATTTCGTGGATATAACGCTATTAAATAATTATATCGTCTTTAAGAAAAATAAAAAGAAATTGAACTTTAAATATTTACAAGCAAAAATTAGCGGAAGAAATTATTTCTAAGCACCATCATTAATTATATATATATATATATATATATATATATATATATATATTGTTTTTTATATAATATTCTGAATAAGATATGATTATATGATATTTTGTATATAATTTATATAATATGTAATTAGCCGTAGGCCTAATTATATGCATTAAAATAAAAATCAATATTATCATATTACCGATCGATAAAACAGAAATTTATTATTACGATCTTCTTTACTCGGTCGGTTAAAGAATTTTACTTTTCTGTCGATAATGTCTACTTTACCTAGCGATGGTAAAACACAGAAGAATAGATATAGATAAAATATCTTTTTGAATTCAAACATTGTGCTCTTCTATAGCTCACTTCAATGCTCATTAAAATTTTATATTGAAACTAAGGATTATTGATTCATTTATTATATGTTGAATTCTATTATAATTAATTGGAGATAATATAAATATATTAAAGAATTTAAATATTTGAAATTTATTCAATAATAGTTTACCATAGAATTAAAAATTAAAAGCGTCTTCATCCACTTGCTTCTTGAATGCACTTTCAAAGATTGGTAATACTAAAAGACTAAAATAATTTATTTATTTAGTAAAATTGATTTTAATATAATTTAATATAATTTTGTTATTTTCTCAATCCAATTTGATTTATTTAGATTTATATAACATATTTACACTCTATTAATTTATCTAAATAAATTAATGACTCATATTGTTAGAAAGTAACTTTAAATGGAGCATTATGATTGGCTCAAACATTCGTGCCATCTGCTGTTCGTATCCGAAATTAATTACTTGTATACGTACACGTTAATATTGTATGCTTGGTGTTTGATAGAAACTCATATATAGATATATATATATATATATATATTGTTTTTATTATTCATAAGATTATTGGAAATAAAAATACTATTTAAAAGAATATTATTCATATTTGTTATTAGTGACAATTAATGCTATTATTTTTAAATATGGAGAAGAAAATTGTATTCTCTATTTTTCTATTATATTTGATAATTAAAGAAGGTAAGGTGTGGTCTTATAAATTATTTGTAATTTATAAATGTAAATTATATTATATATTTATATTGTGTAAATTATATTATATATTTATTAAACTTTATGCATTAAATAATATTTTCATTGCAGGGGAAAGCCTTTTATGTTATAGATGTAATAGTAATCATCCTGGGTGTGGCACTCCATTAAATTGGTTATGGTATTGGGGAGAATCTTGTCCTGAATATGATGACAAATGTGTGAAAATAATTGAGAGAAAAGGGGGTAATGCTTTTGAATCCTTTCAATTATTTATCATTAATAATATGCCCTGTGTATTTTTAATATACAAGATTTTAATATGAATTCATTTTGGCAGCTGAAACCATTATTACAAGAGAATGCTTGAGTTCTGTACGTAGTTTCAGAACAGATATGCCAGCAGATCATTATGAAGGATGTCGTCCTGCTGCAAAAGATCTTCGTTTAGGACATTATGTAAACAATAGTATACATCAATTAGATATCCATAGAGATTATTATGATGAGGTAACATGGTGCTTTTGTTATTTTGATAACAGATGCAATAATGCTAATAATTACAATATTTCTATCCTATTGTTAGCTATATCATTTAGTATTGCAGGATATTTTGCAACATAACAATATTATCTTCATAGAACATTGATATTTAGATATTTAGATCTCAATGCTTTTAATTTGGCTAATATAATATGCTCATTTTATATATAAAATTTCATTCATTAATCTGTAATTTTAATCAAATCTTTTTTATAGAACAATGTAATTGAAATGTTTTTATACGTGACGTGCGAAAAATATTATGTAGATTTTTATTCCTAAGTATGACAACGCAAAGATACCAATTTGAAAGTACAACAAAGTAATTATTAGAGATTAAAGTTAAATACATATAAATATTTAGAAGTATTTTAAATCTAATTACATATAAATGTATTTTGCTCATTTAATCCATCTAATAGTGTAATATAAAAATGTATCGTAACTCATTTAATCCGTCCAAATATTTAGTATAAAAATGTATCGTCACTTTTATATTTTAAACGATTTTTATAAACTTACATATAATTGTATTAAGTGACTTTACTGTGATCTTATATATATATATATTATTTGTATATTTTATATACTTTGTATATTTAATGTACAAATTTCCGTCCATAAAGAAAATATATTTATAGTTTATATTTATAACAAATGACATGTGTGTGTGTGTGTGTATTATTATAGAAAATAATAATTTTTAAATATTCCTTTTATACATAATTACACGCTGAATGAACAAACTTTCAATATCGAGCAAAGTGTCAAAATAAAATTGTAAATGAATTTATTTAATTGGGGAAAAAGTGATAGAGAAAAAAAAGTGTTAATCAAAATAGAATAAGATTTATAAAAAAAAAAAAAAAAAGAAAGTTTCTTACTTTTATTATATAAAATGTTTACATATTTCATAAATTATAAAGTTTTATCCAATAGTAAAAATTCAAATAATACATTTAACATATAATAATGAGTAAAGAGATTAAAAAACTATTTTAGATAATTTTTTAAGCAGCTTTGACCGTTTTATCTTGCTCTCTCTGTTGTACTGGACTCTTTTGATTTTGCAAATCTTTTTCCTTTTCAGTTTCATCATACTTTGTCACATTATCTTTCAATGCAGGCTGTCCTGTATTCTGTATCTTTATGATCCTTTCTTTCTCTTCTAATGCCAATATCTTCTTAGGAACAATGATAGTAAGAATTCCATCAGAAGACAATGTAGAATATAATTGATCTATATCGCATTGCTCAGGAATCATATACTTTCTGAGAAACTGTCTAGATATTAAACCATGTTCGTCCTGTTTCTCTTCGTGCTTACCTTCGACCATAACATTTTTTCCTATCACCTTTACAGTCACTTCATCCGGTGCAAATTGTTGTACATCCAAAGTTACTTGAAACCTGTTTTTATCAGCTTCTACGGTCGACGTACCAGATGTTTTACGTGTCACACCTCTTTCGTATAGATGATGACGATGTTGTAAATGACGTCGAGGTCTATATATTAAAAGATTCGTATTTGTATCGTATGGGATCCATGAAGATGGCAAATCTTCAGGATTAAGAGATAAGCCAAAATGTTGATGAAAAATACGATGAGGACGATCCAAATTCTCCCACCAATTTGAAAATAATATTGGCAACAAAGACATAGTTCTTTTTTTTTTTATTTTATTTTATTTTATTTTATTTTTTTTTTTTTTATTTTTTTTCTATTCTTTTTCTTTTATTATTATTATTCAAGATATGTTCGAACAATTTATTTTGCTTCTGGTATCCTCTTCTTTAATTTCAAAACTAATCGATTTGTTAAACGTTGACTTTTCAATAAACTATCGATAAATATTTTTTATTAACCTTTAATCATTTTAAATCCGTATAATAATCCAAATATATTATTCCAACTTTTGTTCATTTAAATAATACAACGAGCAACGATAATTTATACATATGCACACTCACACGCGCACACACACGCACATATGTATATATGTTTATCTCTAAAAGCCGGTTCGAAGGTGGGGCAGATAATTTGACCAATAGCAAGCGAGTTAAAAAGCGCATTCTAGAAACGCAGAGAACTCTCTCGAATCGAATTTGCTAGAAAGAGCGCGAATTTCGAATGGACGCGCACATCTGTTCGATAAAATTATGATATCATTCGGAATATTCGAGATACATGAGTACGTATCTATTCTATCTTTAAATCTTTATTTCAAAATGTATGACTCATTGACATTATTTTTGAGAGTAGCGAGGCACGGGAAGAAAGATGAATGAATTTATATGGATTAATGATAATAAATGATTTGTATGCTATAATTAAATATTTTTGAACATGTATTTAAAAGACGAGAATATACGAGAATATTAATTGAATCAATGCCAAATTTATCTAACAAACGATCATCCCAAAAAATTTCATTCATTCGTAATGACAAAATTTATAATTGGAATAAAAATTTTATTATAATTGTAATAAATGAATTATTTATTTTTTATATTTTAATGGAATTTATTATCGTAAAAAAAAAGAAAAAAAAAAAAAAAAAGAATAATATCGAAGAGTGTATGACCTTATCTTTGCAAAACCGGTTTTTCGGAGATTAATCGATAGAAAAGGTCTTCTTTGTCGTACTAATAGTGAATAACTTTTCGAAAGTATATGTCCAAGGAAAGAAAAAAATAAATAAATAAATAATATTGTTGGTTATTTATTTATTTGTTGAATGGTATTTTATCGAAAAGAAATAAAATTGCGAAAGTTCCTTTTTTTGCTTTTTACTATTTAAACAACTTAAGATAAAAATGAAAAATAATATGTAAGTTATTGAATTATGGTCGTTTGCAAATATGGAAAACACAAAAGGATTTAATAGAAAATCGATGAAAGCGGCAAACATTGGATTACGAGGTGACAGACCTCTAAGGTAAACTTTGTAAAAAGGAAACTATCGTCTTGAACGTCTTTCACGACATAATTTTTATGGTTTCAATGAAATCATTTGAAAAATATTTAATTACTTATAATAATCAAACTAATTATGACGTATATTATGAATATAAAAAGATGAATAAGTCTTTTTATATTTTAACAATCGATCCATAAAAACAGTTAATCTTATTTCAAGGGACTTTCAATATAAAAAAAAAAAAAAAAAAAACAAAAAAAAAAGACCAAAAAAAATATATACAAAATCAAATTGTATTGATTTATAATCGTTTTAGTTGCAATGTCATCGATTTAAATTATACATTCATATTTTCTGCCTGTCGTTCAATATATAATGTAAAAATACAAATTAAATATGTAAATAATAATTCTGTCGATTATCTTTAAAAAAAGAAAAAAAATAAAAAGAAAAAAAAAGAAAAAAGAAAAAATTAGATCGAAAAGGTGAAACAAAGTGTGAGAAATATAAATGAATATTTGAAATATTTTTACGAGTATAGATTCTTTATTCGATAACTTTCGAAAATCTAACGATATCGAGAATTATCTTAGAAAAGTAAAAGAAATAAATATAACGAAAAACCATTGAAATTTCATTGGACAGATTGTAAATTTATATCGATCTTCTTCGAAGGAACCATCGAGAATCAACTAATCGTTGGTATTTTAAAGAGGATCGAAAGTTCCAGAATAAGAGAGATTTTTTCTAAAAATAAAAGATATGAATCATTTCGAATGATTTATCATAAAATTGATAATTCGATCTAATTAGATGATATATCGAATAAAATACCGAAAAGTGAAAAGCTGAGAACATTCTATTGGCAAAAGTATCAATGAAAACGCGCCGGCGCTATCGTTTCTAGATACTTCGTGAATGTTCGGCTCAGAGATCGGGCGATCAATAAAAGGCCGGTTCGGAGCCGACAACTGTCAGTCTTAGCCGAACAAGCAACGAGTAAGGATATAAACGAATTTCTAAAAACGAACTTTAAGAGAGTATAACAAGGCGATCATATAAAATAAAAAAGAAAGAAGAAAAAGAAAAAGAAAATTATTATTCTTTGTACGACAAAGAAGAAGTAAGAAGAAATATTTAAAAAAGAAAATGTCTCTGCTACCACTTATTTTCTCCGACTGGTGGGAGGATTTGGAAAGACCACATCATCTGATGGATCAAAACTTTGGCTTGGGATTGAATCCTGAACAACTTTTGACTATTCCAAACAGAATGGATATTCTAAGACAAAGGGAAAGATTTCCAATGAGTTATTATCGTCCATGGGCTGAATTAATTCGTCAAAAGGATAGCGGTACCTCGACTGTTAACGCTGATAAGGACAAGTTTCAGGTTGTCCTGGACGTTCAACAGTTTCAACCGAACGAACTCGACGTTAAGGTTACTGATAAATTTGTCGTTGTTACGGCTAAACACGAGGAGAAACGTGACGAACATGGATGGATCTCAAGACAATTTGTTCGTAAATATATAATCCCTGAACAGTGTGATATCGATCAAGTTACATCGAAATTATCTTCCGATGGTGTACTGACGATTATTGCACCGAGAAAGGAAGTACCCAAAATTGAGAACGAGAGAACGATCAAGATCGAACATACTGGAAGACCTGCTATGCAGACTAAATCTCAGAAACAACCAGAAAAACAAGAACAAGAACAGCAACAACAACAAGAAACCAACGAGGAAGAAAAGAAATAAGACGAAAAACGTTTCTTCTTTTTTTAAAAAAAAAAGAAAAAAAAATAAATAAAAAAGAAACGAGACAACATTGAACTAATCTTCAAGTTTTATTTCTATTGTTTTAATCGTACTCTTTCTTTTTCGCATTAATAGTTCCTCATTATTATTAGTATTAGAATAATACATTATACGATTCTCTTAAATTGCTAATTTTAAATATTATTAATATTAGCAACCATTGATCGAATATTCATTTATATGTATAATTGAAAAACGACAAACAAATATGTGTGTTTTCATTATATACTTTTTCGTACTTACAAATATATAATAAGCTATCTTTTCCTTTTTTTTTATAATTTAATAAATACAAACATATTATCGTATAATTCGAAATATCTTGTTAATCATCGTATTCCCTCTTTTCCTTGAAAATATTTTTAATATAATTACCAAAATATTTTTGATAATTTTATATAATAAATTTGATTTCAATTGAGGATACCTTAACGAATTTATTTCTTTATACAGATAGATTCAATAATACAATATTTTCGTCTATTTGTATGATAGAAATATCATAAAAGAATATTTCGAAAAAATATATATGGCTATGAAAATGACGAAGTTAAATAATAAATAAATTTATTTTCAATTTTCATTGACCTTTAGAAGACATTCGCGTCCGTCGTATGAAAACAAGATTTAGTACAGAACATAAATATATATGAGTTTGGCGGTCAAACGAGATCCGAACGTAAACGATGACGATTGTAGAGCAAAATAGAACAATTTATGCATTCTTCTCGTGATTTTATTCTTGCCAATGGCTAAAAATAGCGCGAGTTAATTTAATCAACAAAAGTTATATATATATATATTTATTGTACATAAAAAATAAAAAATGTAAAATTAATATGCATGTATTTTTAAGTGTTTAAATATATGTAAAATTTTTTAATAAAACTTTGTTTAAAAATATACACACACATATGTGTGTATGTGTGTGTGTGTATGTATGTATGTATGTATTATATATATTTAACTACTACATGTATATATAGTTGAAAACTTAAATATTTGTACAGTAGAAATATGGAAATGTATACTGTACTATGCGAATACTTATGTCCGTCACTTGTCCGATTTTGTTTTTTATTTATAAATACATAAAAACTTTTATACGAAACTTTTATTTTAAATATATATACATATATATTATACAAAATATATGTCTATCTGTCAATATAATATTGGAAAATAATAATATTTCTTCAAGTTTTTTTGTTCGTATAAAAACAAAACTGCGATTTTCTAATTACCATCTAATGGTCGTGAAATAATTAATATTTAAAAGTATTATAGTGCATATTTACTTAATTCGGAAGGAAATATCGATAATATACTTTTTACTGAGTTATATAAAACTTTTACAGAGAAATTCTTTTACAGAGAAGTTATATAAAAAGTATATGAACAGTTGATTACATAAACCATGATTTCAAAGTCAAATATAAGTTTTAATTTGAAACATCTTCTAGCAAAAAATTTATTATCTTTTCTATTACGATTAAATCATAATCCATTGCAATTATCAGCAATTTCTATCTTTCTTATTTCATGAGTCACGGAGCTTCATGATTATATGTTTACGTGTCTTTCGTGTGATTTCAGAACAATTATGTTGATTTAACATACTTCAAATTATTAGATAAAAATATAAAATTATTTGGATAATTAGTGAATACAAGGATATCTTACGTAGCAAGACGATATTGAATGGATAACAAATTAAAAATATTCTATTAATATATATTACAATATATTATAACAAATGGATCATTGTAAGAGATAATAAAAAATAATAACAGAATACAATGAAAAGATGTACGAAGAAGAACGTAGAATGAATAGGATTCTATTATTTTTTTTCATTTTTTTTTTTTTTTATTGTTGCGAAGTAGTCTTCTTCTTATCATCGTTTTCTAATGCTGGTTTCCCCGTATGTTCGATCTTAACAATTCGTTCTTTCTTTTCTTCAATAGCCTCTGGTTTTCTAGGTGCTGTTATTGTCAGGATACCGTCGGAAGATAAAGAACTTGTTGCTTTCTCAGGATCACATTGGTCAGGTACCAAATATTTTCTGACAAAGTGTCTGGATATGACACCATGATCGTCTTGTTGTTCTTCGTGTTTGCCTGTTAAAAAAAAAAAAAAAAAAAAGAAAGGAAAAAAACCAATTTAAAATAAAATAAAATAAAAAAAAAAAAAAAGAGATAGCAGGAAATATTCATCCATCAATCCAATTTAGATTTCATCAGCAAGTTGATTGAATCATTTGATCCTTACCTTCGACAACGATGTAATTATTAACGATCTTGACGTTAACTTCCTCAGGCTTGAATTGTTGAACGTCCAAAGCTACGTGAAACTTATCCTTATCATTTTTAACAACAGACCAACCACTGTTATCCTCGTCGCGAATAAGATCAGCCCATGGTCGATAATATTTATAAAATGCCGAGGACGCTGAGAATGGTGAAAATCTTCTACTTTCCAATTTGTCTAACATGGATGATCCAAAAAATTGTTCCGGATGAATTCCCATGCCAAAACGTTGATCATACAATCTATGTGGTTGCTCCAATGTTTCCCACCAATGAGAAAATAATTTTGGGATTAGCGACATTTTCGATCTCATTAATGCACCTTTATTATTTTTTTCAAAACGTTTCTATTATGTTTCACGTTTAATTGAAATCTGATGTAATCACTGTCTCGATGAAATTTTTCTTCTATTAGAGTGTTCACTCGTTGTTAGTTGCACGTTTACTGAGTCGACAGATTTCCGTGACGTGCTTTTATATCTGTACCAGGTAAGGCGACGTGTAAGGAGGGATGCATTCGAGTCTTTCATCGAAATTTCGAGACAATACTATCGACGGTTTCATTTTATGGAAATTCTAGAACACATCCAAAATCTTCTTTTTTCTATCTCTTTGATATACGTCAATTCGAACGTATTTGTTTGTTTAATAAATAATAAATGTAATAAAATTTTTTTGTTTATAATAATGTATGCTGATTTTTTCTTTTTTTTCTAATGCAATTTTATCAAATTCTTCATCATATTTTATCAGATCATATTTTATAGATGCACTTTTTTGAAATGTTAATTGTTATTTATTATATTAAAAAACAAATAGAAACGATTTCAAAAATAATGTAATTTAAAGATTACGTGTCATTACATTAATAACAACGTGTTTCAAATTTTTAAATAGAACGCCAAGTCAACAACGCCTAAGTGCATCGGCCGTGGTTATTCTCAGAGAGTTGCATAGCAATATATCTATGCACGCATACATAGATTTATTTTTCAACGAATTCATGACTTTATTCATTCCATTTTAAGACGTACTTCTTTCTTTTCTCTTTTAATATTAACTTTATAACTCACTTGATTCATTTATTAGGATATGAAATATAGCAAAAAAAAAAAAAAAAAAAAAAACGATGCAATTTCTTGTCAAAAATAATAAATCCAATTTACGGAAAAGGAATATTTCTCATGAAAACATTCTAATATTCTTGTTTTTGATTAGATAAGCCACACGTATAGGCTATGTTTGTTATCAATTTATTATCGACGCAATAGAAGTGAATAAAAAAAAAAAAAAAAGACGCAACGTATATCTATAATTAACTAAAAATATGATTTACATACGGAAATAGTTTTTTCGTAGATATTTTCTTACGAATTTTGCAAACCTTTTCTTTTCCCTTTTATTTATTTATTTCGAAAATATAAAATATTTTATATATATAATGCAATTTTTTCCCGAAAAATTTTCACGAAAATGAAAGACTATTTTGAATGGACACATAATGATTTTCGTTCTATTTGTTTAATATAAATAAACGTATAGAAATCGTTTGAAAATTGATTAGAGACGTTAACTAGACGGAAACATTTGTGATATGTTTTGCGAGGTGTAATTTTCAATGCGCCGACGTATGCATCGTCGTTGTGTTATGTCTCGAAGCTCGAGTACATTGACCGTTATCTCTTTTCTCTCTTTTTCTTTTTCTTTCTCTCTCTCTCTCTCTCTTTCGATCTCTCTCGATCTTTTTGTAATACAAAGTTCTTCAACAAAGTTCTCTTCAACAAAATTTATATAATAACGAATGTTTTTGACATGCACTACTGTATACGCATGTTTGACCTTATCCATTAAAAAAATGGATTAAGGTCAAATTTTTCGCATTATGTTTCTACATAATTTCTTTTTCTTTTTCTTTCTTTTTTGGTATAATTTTTTTTTTGTTTCTACTTATTATTGATACTTAATGTAACTCTATTGTTTTCTTTTTTTTCGCTTTTAAGGAAAATAGTCTTCTTATTACGCGTTACAATACATTTTTGAAATTTCGTTTATATTCACCCAAAAAAAAAATATAAAAAAATAAAAAAAAATAAAATAAAATGAAAAATAGAAAGTAATGAATTAGACTTTTGTAAAATTCGAGCAAATGTTATTACACGTAATATTGTAAATACGTGACTCTTCTTTTTAAAAATAGCATAAATTTCGTCATCCTAAGCGTGAGTCAACGTTACTGTACTATAAAAGAAGTTTAAACAGATGCATAAATACGTATACGGTACGCCTTATTTCTTTGTTTATCTCTCAGTTAAAGTATAAAAAAAAAATTATGTATGTATGTGTATATATATATATATATATATGTATCGTATTAATTTTAATTAAAGACTAGTACGAAATATTTGTCATTGAGCCTTTGCACGACCGATAAAATATTATTACAATTTTCAACTTCAATTGTTAACAAAATTATTCGAAATTAATGAACAAACGAATTTTCAATTCGTTAGATCAAAAAATCTTTGAGAATTTTTCAGTCTTTATATTTTAAATATTATTTTATTTGTCCTTCTTTTTTCTTATCAATTTTAAACTTACAAATGTTTCATACTTGACATACGTGAGCAATTATAAACTATTGACATATAAAACAAAAAAAAAAAAAAAAACAAAAGTAACGATCGAATAATTAAGAGAATAGAAATTAAAATAAGAAGAATAAATATAAACAAAAACATACGCAACGTCGATTGATATACTAATTTCTTGGTGCGTTGTCCTTGATAAGAAGAGCACACATAAAACTGAATTTTTAAATTCCTTACGTGGCGTTTTGGCATTTCTGGAAATCTCCTTATCCCCTCTACCGATAGAAACAGTTGCACATAAATACAGGCATGGATGGGAATGTTATTCAGTTGCAGCAAAACATACGAGAGAGACGTGCAAAGAGAAAACTTACTGCGACATTTCTTTTTTTTTTTTCTTAAAAATATCAAACGTGTAAGAGTTTACAAGATAAACGAAGTAATCATTACTTTGAAGTAAATTGTATAAAAACAAGAAGAAGAAGAAGAAGAAGAAGAAGAAGAAGAAGAAATAAAAGAATAATTATGACGCCTCTACTACCATTAATATTTTCTGCTTGGTGGACAGATTTAAATCGGCCTTATAAGCTGATGGATCAGAATTTTGGATTAGGCTTGTTTCCTGAAGAGGTTCGAATAATGGATAAATTTTATCCATTGCCTCTTCCTAATAAGGCTATTTCAGATCTGTATTACCGACCGTGGGCTAATCTCTTTAAATTGGATGACCATGGTGATTTCTCGACCATTAACATGGATATGCATACCTTCAAGGTCATACTAGATGTACATCAATTCAAACCCGAAGAGATCAGTGTAAAGGTCGTTAATAGATACCTCGTTGTCGAAGGTAAACACGAAGAGAGAAGGGACGAACATGGTTTCATTGCGAGACAATTCGTCCGTAGATATTTGCTTCCTAATCAAGTAGATGCCGATAAAGTTTCCTCGTATATATCGACCGATGGAATATTGACCATCACGGCACCTATTAAAGGGAATCTGGAACAAACAAATGAGGAGAAGATTAAAATTGAATTTATCGATAAACCGACGACAAAACGTAAAAACGGTGAAAAGGAAATTATAGAGGAAAATAATAATCGTGAGGAAATTACAACCCAAAAAGGTACTACCCAAACGGCAAAAATTCCACAGAAATAAAAATCACCTATAGCTACTTTATATACCGTATCATTCCTCTTATAAAGTTTAAGACTGATACACGTTAATCCCAGTTAATGAATTTCTTGTTAATTAATAATTATTTTTAATATTATCGTTCAATGTTATATAAGCATTGTAAGCTTTATATGGATAATATTAATAAAAGAAGATAAATTACAGATTTAAAGTCTTTATATTGTACTGTGTGAACAGTTAAAATCTTATTATCCCTTTTACTTAAGATTTTTATTTCAATTTGCTTAAAATAATTGATTAGCTTTAATAAGCTAAAAATTTATCTTGGTACAAATAGTGTTAAAAAATTTTTTAAAATAATTGTAATGTTATTATCGTTTTATTAATATTTGAATATTAATATAATTTTTGTTTTGTCAAGCTATTCTTATCATAGCTCAATAGATCTCTGATAATATATCTGCTTTTATTTTAAAAAAAGAGGTTATTACAATGAAATAAAAATGAACGTAAAATTCTGTAAAAGTTATCACGCATATAGATAAAAATATTCATTAGAAACAAACAATGAGTCATTTTATAGGTATTTACATTATATAGATCTATCATATAGATTAACTTGCAACAATGTATATACTGTGTTTGTATTTGTGTATATGAAAATTGTATCTAATTCTTATATATTATTACATAACAACGACATAATTTTACCTTTTAAATTTATCCGATATATAAGCTGATATATTAACTAACAATTTCATCATTTTACAAGTTAAATATAACATTTAATTCAATGTTACAAATTTAAAAGTAGAATAATGACAGTTCGACGCTGTAAAACTACGCCATATTGTTTTGAATAGGACACAGGCGATTGGACGAAAATATCGAACCAATAAAATTCGAGCATTTAGTTGCAACGTTATTGACTATTAATTCATTAACCTTGTTCGTTTGCATAGAATAATAAAAAAAGAAAAGATACGACGATTGATATTGAATATCAATGATCAAACAATTTTAATGGATATACAATGATCCAATAATCGTACGATAATAACCTGTTTACAAACATTACGGGATTACTTTATTACGTAGACGGTTTCTCTCAGCCAATCATCGTTCGCCTAACAATATGGCGAGATATCGCGAAAAAAGATCAGTCAGTCTTTCGGCACGCTTCGCGTAAACAACTTTCTATTGAGTCATGAAGGACATTAAAATCGAAAGAAAAAGGACATGTATATATATATATTTATTTATTTTCATATATTTCTCATTACGTGATCGAACGTCGAAGTGAAAAGTTACCGTTTAAATAACTCCAAGAGAATTTTGGGTTAAGCGATTGTCTAACCTGTGACTCAATGTCATGCTTCAAGGTAAACTATCGATGACGTCAGTGTACGTCACTTAACAAGTGGGAGTGGATGGATAGATGTCGGCAGTCTTGGTCGGTTTCGCGAATCGCAGTTGGAATCTGTAGAAGACCAAACCGCTTCGACGCGATAATGTTACGCGTTTCTTAGCGATGTAGGCGCGCACATCGGTTGAAGGAAAATCAAAGAGTGCGAGAGAGAGAGAAAGAGAGAGAGAGAAAGAACGAACGAAAGAGTGTGTAAGCGAGAGAGAGAGAGAGAGAGCGCGAATGAGAGCGAGAGAGAGAGAGTGAGAGCAGAAAGTGGAGAAGAAGAAGAAGAAGAAGAAGAAGAAGACGACGACGACGACGACGACGAAGACGACGAAGAAAAAAAAGAAGAAGAAAAATAAGAAAAAAAAGGCAACGGCGAAAAAGAAGAAAAAGTGGCGTCGACTCGTTGCACGTGTTTTCGCGGTTCGATGGAAAATCACCGATATCGTTTTGCGCATGCCCGAGAGCCGATGACGTCACGAAAATTGTGGTTTTGATCAAACTCGCTCTCGGTCCTTTTTTTTCCCCGTACGACACAATAATGTTGCTGCGCGAAGTCAAATAATTAGCGGTGTGAAGGGGGAATCGTCCGGAAGCCGAGGACCCGCCGGTGACAAACTGTGAGTAACGTCGTTTCCTCCTCGCCTGTTTACCCTTTTCAAAAAGTCATTCGTCAGGAGTTATACAGTCTGTTAGGGGGGACATGGCCTTCACGCACGTATACACATGCACGTTGCTACCGTGCGATTTTCGGTTGAGACAGGGAGAAAAAGAAGAGTGAAAGAAAGAGAGAGAGAGAGAGAGAAAGAAAGAGAGAGAGAAAGAGGGAGTAAGAACGTTGGGTGTATCTGGTTTTGTGATGTGTGTGTGTGTGTATGTGTGTATATGTATAATGGAGAGTGAGAGAGAAAAAAGAAAGAAAGGAAGAAAGAGAGAGAGAGAGAGAGAGAGAGAGAGTCAGAGAGTCAGAGAGAGAGAGAGAGAGATTAGCTCGTCGCGATGCATCTTGGCCGAGCACTTAACACCGTCCCTCGTATGCGAGCTTACGCTTAACGAAGGTCGAATGAGTTGAGCAAAGACGTGTGTGCCTTCTGTGTACTGTGTGTTCGTCGAACGAGATATATTGATCTCGTGAATTTCGAATTACAAGCAAACAGAGAATCGCCTGTTTCGTGGATATTCGAATGATAGGGTTGTCTCTACTTAACGTTACATTCCAAGATCATTTAAATCTTTTGAATTTCCTTTATGGTTTAATATGTTCTTACTCACATATTTCAGATTTATGAATTAATATATGATTATTATGTTAAGGTGATAATACTACTGAAAACTTATAGTGAATCTTATAGGAATGGTTCATGATAATATATAGATTTTATAAAGGATATATTTAAAAGTTATCATATAAAATTGAATTTATTTATTTAAAGTTTTCATACATAGATCCTGGTGTGCTTTGGAATGTCGCTTTGATTGCAATTGCTTTCTTAAATAATTCTTAATGCTTTATGATGCATGGAATGAATTCAACTTCTTATTATATTGTATTCATTGGATATGGTTTAAGGAATGTTATATTTTATTGGTATTATCTAGAAAATTATTAACTAACATATGTAAGAAATATTATTGTCTACAATGGTGATCATATAAACCATATAGATCTAATACATTTTAATTTAAATTATTATAACCTTTTTATATTGAAATTCTTTATAAAATCTAAATCAAGAATATTCTCTAGTAGCATCTATTCTAATCTATCAATTAATTTAATAATCTGTTTTATATTTATTAAAAGTACATTCATATAACAAGGAGAATATGAATGTTTATGTATTATCCTTTCAGTAGATTCTTTTATAGATATTTTATTACAGAAACATGTGTCATCTTATCGAATAGAATGCATCAATGTTCTCTAAGCTCTTAATATTCATACTAATTGCGGAAAAACACTGAAGTTCTTTTATAATCATTAAGTGAAGTAAAGAGAAAACAAAAACAAATAATATGCAATGTTGAACACGTTCTATGAGATACTGCCATCTGCCGGTGATGTCTCGTACGCATAAAACTGCACCGGTATTGCAGAAGAATGATTTTTCCTTCGTTATAAACATTTCGAGATGTACGATTTACGCAGTAAATTTCAACGATTGCATGTGCGTAAAATTATCGAAACAATAGATAGAACATTAGACAGGAGTGACAAATATGAAGAAAAGAAGATAATTGCGAAGAAACTTGCAGGTAAACTTTACCTTTTGTTTCTTTTTTTTCCCCCTTTCTTTCTTTTTTTTTCCCCTCTTTCAACGTTTAAACGATAATGAAAATCGTGGTAAATAACGTTCGTGGCACTTCGTCGCTTTATATATATATATGTTTTTTTTCTTTTTTCTACAGAACGAGATCGTAATCATCGATCTATCTTCGTTTTCTTTCTTTTTTTTCTTTTCCATTTTTTTTTTCTTTTTTCTTTTTAATTCTTCACACATATAACACGTACACAAGACGCATATATAGATACATATATACATACTTTTATAATCTTATCAAGTTAAGCGAGATGAGAGATTTCCGTCGAACTTAAGATCGAATGACATCCGGTCTTAGAAGAAGATCGATCGAAAAATATTTTTTCATGGATCCTCCACCACGTTTACATTTTCCGGTTATGGAAAGTCATTTCTTTAGGAATACAAATACACGCGCATGTATGTTCCCTTATGTATTTATGCATGTATATATATATATATATATATATGTATATATAAACACATATATAGTCGCACATGCGTACGTTTATACGCGCGTAAGTTTATGCGCACGCTTGAGGATTCTTAAGCCTCTTATGTTCGCTCGTTTGGGCAATCTTATCGGGGATGATCGTTTTTATCATAAGATTTTTAATAAGGAAAAAAATTTAATAAATAGAGAGAGAGAGAGAAAGAGAAAAGAATTCTAGATCTACATGATGTCCACTAACGACATAAATATATAATAATAATAATAATAATAATAATAATAATAATAATAATAATAATAATAATAATAATGCTTATCTCGCGCAATGCCGTGACCTCATAGCACAATACACAGGTACAATATGCCTCCTCGAACATATGTAAATTTCTAATATGTATGACCTAAACGTTGACTCTTTTCATTCATAGAAATGCGTGACACGGTGAGAATGGACTACTAGATCATTCGATGACATAAATCTTTATGAGAGAGAGAAAGAGAAGAGAGAGAGAGAGAGAGAGAGAGAGAGAGAAAGATAGAAAGGAAACAGAAACAACTTTATCGGAATTCTCATTGAAGATTATTATTGTTTTCGAGGAAAGGAAGTTTTATGTATCGCCAATTGCGATAAATTACTTTTCTACTTTTCACGGTGGATAAAATCGTGAGATATCTGTTATTTATTATGTAATTTTTCTTTCTTTCTTTCTTTCTTTCTTTTCATTTTATTTTATTTTATTTTATTTTATTTTATTTTATTTATTCTTTTTTCTATTTTTTTATTTTTATCTATTTATTTATTTTTTTCTTTTTAATTTGTTAAATATATCCGGGAATATATTTCTCCCTTTTTTGTTTTATTTTGTCGTGTGCATTTGATGTCTCACGCAAGGAAAAGAATCCAGAACGAAATCACGTAGGAATGGTTTGAT